GGCTGGAGGGGCGGGGCTCATGGGTGAGGGCCAGAGGAGGGTGCCTGGGTAGGGGTTGGGCTCACGAGTGAGGGTTAGAGGAGCCCTGGGCAGGTGGGGTGTGTGTGGCCTGATGGGGGAGTACTGGAGGGGGAGGCCCGGGGCGGGGCGGGTAGGGGGTGGATGATGGGTGAGGGCTAGAGGGGAGAACCCAGGACTGCAGGGACTGATGGGTGGGGGCTAGAGGGGTGGGGCGGACGTGTAGGCGTGGCTAACAAAGGTGGTGCTTATGAAGAGGAGGTAGGGTGGCGAAGAGGTCTGGGCAGGTGAGGGGACCCGGCCAGTAGTCGGGATAGACTTGGTGTTTGAGGAGGCTGGGTAGATGGGATGGGGCCATCTGTGGGGGCGGGGTCGACCTGGGCGGAGCTCGTTGTGGGGGCGGGGATGGTGGGCGGGGCGTGTCCCGCGGTAGGGCCTGGCGGGGTGGGAAGGGCTGAGCAGTGGTATAACCCAGGGGACACTTCCACGCATTAGGTTGCTACTAGCCTAAAACAGAAAGGAACGTGTGGGAGAGGATGTGGAGAAACTGGAGCACTGTGCGCTGATGGTGGAGTGTAAAATTAATTATACAGCAACTGTGGAAAACAGGATGCCAGTTCCTCAAAAAATTAAACATAGAGTTAACAAATGATCCAGAAATTCCACTTCTGGGTCAAGTCTGCAAAGGATTGGAAGAGAGATTTGCACTCTTCCTACGCTTGCGGAGGCACTATTCACAACAGCCGAGAGAGGAGCAGCGCCAGCGTCTGTCACTGGATGCTGGACGGACAGACGGGCCCGTCCTGGAGGAACACTGCTCGGTGGTGGAGAGGAAGGCCGGTCTGGTCAGGCCACCACAAGAACGCACCCTGAGGACACGTGCTGAGTGAAATAGGATAGACACAAGAAGATGAATCTGTGACTCTGCTTGCATGAGGTCCTGGGCTGTCAGATTGACAGACAGAAATAGACTGGAGGGCTCGGCTAGGGGCTGCAGTGGAGAAGATGGGAGTGTCCTGGAGCAGGACAGCTGGACGCTGCACACCAAGTCCTCCATGCACCGGACTGTGCACCCAGAAATGGGTTGGATGGTAAATTTCATGCTATTTTACCATACACATAGCATAAAATTAAAACCAAAAATAAATACAAACACAGCGTCCCAGAGCTCAAGTTATGTGAAAAAGGAATACTTGATTTATACTTATTTGCAGTTTAGATTCCATTAATTCCCAGCCTAACCCAATTAAGGGTTAGGAATTGAAAGTGATTAAACCTGAAAGGCATTTGGGGTCAATGACAGACCACCCACTCTTACGCCATATTACCATATTTTCTTTTCTGTACATAGCTACCCAAATTGTTACCTGCGTCACGGTTGCCTGTGTATTCAGTGCAGTCACCTGCTGCACAGGTTTGTGGCCTAGAAGTGAAAGATTAATGTGTAGTCTAGGTGTGTGGTGGGCTCTGCCATCTGGGTGTGTGACATCCCCATGGAGACAGAGCTGACTGCTGGTGCATTCCTCAGAATATGTCTCTGTTGTGTGGTGTGTGTGTGTGTGTGTGTATACAGACACATAAGTATATACTTAGGAATTCTTTGCCCAAGTAAAACTGGAAGCCAAATTCTACACAACCATTTCCCTCAAGAAATCAAAGCCTCTCATAGTTTGCACATTTATTTTAATGTCCAATTTAGCAAACCCCACTTGTCCCAGTTTGAGTCACATGCCTGTGGCAATTCTGGAAGCAGAGGTGTTGCCCTGCCCCTTGGTTTCCAGGTGGGCAGTAGCCACTGGAATTTACCTTCCAAAAGGTAATTTACCTTCCACAAGAGAGAACATCCCCACCTGGGCACTTTCAGGGAGTGGCTGTGAGGCTTCATGCCACAAATAGCAAAGCAGAAACAACTCCTTTCAGTGATGGCCAGAAACAGGAGGGAGCCCCCCCAGGGTACAGGGGAATCAGCTGGGGAAGAAGAGAGCCAGTCTGCACAGCCAGGAGCTTCACAGAGCAGGGACTCTGCACCCCTCCATGCTCACATCCAAGGCATGCGAGGAGGTACAGGGCCAGGAAGGGTGGGGACTGCACCTCCCAGGCGGTGGCAGCAAGGCTGTGAGACCCGCCGCTGACCACAGAAGAAGAGAAGATGCTGCCTGTGATTTCTGCACTTGATCTTAGCCAAAATGCCAAGAAGTGATGCCCTGAGATTTCTGGGTCAAGTGACTTCTTCCTAGAAACATTTATGGCAAGAGGAGGCCAATGTTTGGCCCCTGCTGTAACCCTGACCTCACCACAAGTGTCATAGAAGAGAAGCAGGTGCTCACGGTAAGTTAACTGGGCAGCCAAGGAGGTGCTGACAGGTTTAGTGAGGCCACATGGAACAGAGACACTGAGAAGGAGAAGCATGAGGTCAGGGCAGCAGTGGGGACATAGGAGACCCCTCTTCAGATAGGGACAGCCCCCTAGCCAGGCCAAGACTAGACAGAGGATATTGTGAGAGGCACAGCCATAGACAGGGGGACCTGACCCTGCTGGCCTGGGAGATGTGCCCTTTAGCAGCTGGACCTCTGGCCCAAGGAGAGGCTGCAGCAAACTGGGCGGGGGCAGGTGGGGCGACAGAAGAGGGACGCACAGGAGGCTGGGCGGGAGCAGGCAGGACGGCAGAGGAGGGACACACAGGAGGCTGGGCGGGGACAGCTTGTCTGTAAGGAGGAGGTGGGCAGGCAGGCAGGCCTGCACAGGGGGCGGCAGAGCAGGGACATGCAGGAGGAGGGCTTGCAGCAGGCCTGCTTGCAGGCGGAGGAGGTGCAGCAAGCTGGCTGGCAGCTAGACTGCTGGCAGCATGAAGAGGAATCCCCAGAGCAGACAGGCACAGAGCAGACAGGCTTGCAGCTCATGGGCACACAGCAGGCCTGCTGGCAGGGGGATGGGGTGCAGGAAGCCGGCTGGCAGCTAGACTGCTGGCAGCATGAAGAGGAATCCCCAGAACAGACGGGCACAGAG